GTTGGTCACCCACTTATAGAGCAGTACGTGATGTATTTAAAATCCCCAAATAGGTGTGTTGCATAATGCTTGTGGATGACAATCATTCTAGTTTATCACCCACTTCAATGCAGTTTCAACATTATTATCAATAGTTTGTCCTTGTGGGAGTGGTGATGGATGATGCCTTAGCAATGTTGCTATAACAACTATTATTTTGTTATTTCTGTGGTCATTCTAGCAGTGGCCAGGTGAAGGATGCATATACTCAGTCTGATTGTGCAATTGTATAGATGTATATCTTTCTTTGTGAAAGGATCGTGGTAACCTTATGCCCAAGATTGTCTGGTTGATTATTTAAGGTGCTAGGTGATGAGACATTTGAACTTCCAAGCACTGCAACCCCAGTTGCTAGCTGTGTTAAGATGTTTGTTCTGCTGTAAATAATTATCGGTTAGGGGCAGCTAGAAAATATGGCTATGGCACTAGTTACAAATGGATAGTAATGCAGCACTTATCCTTATAATAGTGGCCAGAGCTTCTTTTTACTGTCGGACTTTGTAATTGTTTGAAAGTGGTGGTGTATACCAAGACTGCAGTTTATTTTGATGTCTGGGGCTTTGTTCGTGTAAGGATTAATGCACTGGAACACCAATTGGAGAGGTAAAAATAAGTGTCACTTATGCCGAATTAATCCTTTGGGTGGATAATTTACAACTGAAGGTTGTTGGTGAGAAAATTTACTAATTCAGTCTGAGTTCCCCTCTCTTACCCAGGAATACCGAAAAGGTGTAGTCACAGAGTTGGTTATTTCGGTTGACAGAATAATAAATGTCAATGGTTTGTGGTAGTTGTGCTAGATACGAACCTAGTAATTAATGGCCTTGCTCACCATAGATCTATAGTTGCTGGTACTGGCTTAGTGGAGGGTGGAATTGGCTGAAGGTCTAAAATTCAACTTCTCATAGGGATTCTGATTTTCTTCTTTGTCGCATGTACATGACAGGGCATAAAAATATGTTTCATCAGGTAAAATAATGTTTACCAAACCATTGGAAAACCTCCTAGCATTAAAAATTATATTCCTACTGGCCTCGTGAGAGTGCATGGTGATTGGATGATGCTAGTGCAGGTTTGTTGCATGCTTGTGATCACATTTAGCTGCTTTTTCATTGCAGTTTCAGTTGCAGATGGAGGTTGCATCTCCTTTCTTTTAATGCAGCATGTAGAACAGGTTGTTTGTTAGGTTTCTTTGCCCTTATTGTAGTGGTAACTGTAAGAGGTGGATTTTGCTGTTAGACACACATTTTTGCCAGTGGACACATTTTTTTTATGAAGGTGATAATATTACTGAGGCTTTTAAGAGCTAATGTCAGCATGAGGGCCGAGGGCTGAGGCAAATAATTGATCTGCGAGACAATGACAAATCACGATATTTTGCGATAACCGAGTTCAAGTTTGTTTTCATATTTTAATCACTTCCTGGCAGTTCAGGGAAGTGATTTGCCATTTTTCTCCCGAGAGCGTGGTTCCAATTACGCATGAGCAGAATATTATTTGCAGCAAAACACGTTTAAACGGTACTACGCATGAGCAGACCATTATTTGTAGGCAGTTATTTGCAGGTCGCGTGGTGGGCTCTCGGCCAATGGAAAAGTAGAAAACAATGGGTCGAATAATAATGTTATTTATTGCGCAGTCCTTCTACTACGTCCGCATCTATTTTAATGTGCAACAGTAAGTTTTACCTCTTTCTTGACATCAACTTCATCTGCGAAATTAGCTTCATCTTCCCACGTGAATTTGTGGCCAGGCAAAAATCCACGTAACCAAGCCTTCATTGGGAAGAGTAACATGGGATCCACATTCTTGAGTCGGTCTTGTTTAGTTTCTATACTGGGACGAACATAAAAGGAAAAGTCAGTAGTAATAATATATAAATTATATTACTAATCATATTAGTAATCGTTTAAAATACTGGGAGGGTAGCCGAGGCTGGAACGCTGACTGAATTAAGAATGCTTTTTTTTTCTTTTTGTCTGTCTGCCTGCCTGTTTGTCTGTCTGTTTGTTCATCTGGTTGTCTGTTTTTCTGTCTGTCTGTCTGTCTGGCCGTCCGTCTGTCGGTATCTCTGTCTGTCTATTCATCTGCCCATCTGTTCGTCCGCTTGTCTGTTTGTCTGTCTAACTGTTGGTATGGTGAAACAGAGAATTAATTCTGAAGTGTAAATTAAAGTGCTACTTAAACCCATGAATAACCCACAGGGCGTTGGCCCTAATAAAGGGAAACAGGGAACCACACGAGGCAAAGAAAAAATCTTTTGACCTCGGTGACCTTTTGACCTTGGTTCGATTCCCACCGAGGTTATGCTATCACCCGCTGACATTTTCTCCTCCTCGAGAATTCTTTTTATTGCGCACTCTTCTGCGTTTGCAACAGCTAATTCCTTTTCGAGCTGTAATCGCCCTAACTCTCTTTCTTTTTCAAGAAATTCCATTTCAGCGTGCAACTTTGCAGACTTCGCAGCCGCATCGATCAAAGCGAGAGAAAGGTGTTTTGTAGAGGAGGAACTCAATTTTGACTTGTCAGACGATTTGGACTTCCTACTGAAGCTCGATTTCTCAGACGGTGTTCGACTGGATTTTCTGTCTAAAGCTTGGATGCGTTCGCATACTCTAATTCTACACTCGATGAATTCACGACCCCGGATATCAAACCAGTGATACGAAGCGTTCCTTTCCTCTTCGAGTTCTAGCAAATCGTCAAAATCTTTATGCGCGTCATTGAACTCATCTTTCAACTGGTCTAGGTTAAAATCTTTCTTCTTCCAATTGTTCAAGTGTCGTCACTGGCGAGTCACGTAACGCGTTAATTCTTTCAATTTGTTTCTTTAATCTCTTAAAGGCGGAATTTCGATTGGTGAGTTTAATTTCCAATTGATGAGCTTTTCCCTTTTCAGTCATTTGTCTTCTACGTCCTGTTCTTTTCGATTGTTCAAAACGGGAAGGCTCAACGCCTGTCACGCTCTTGGGTGGCTTAATTGTTTGTGGCGTCGCGTCGAAGTCCGGATCCTGCGGCGTGTGGTTACGAAGGAATGCCGGCGCACTACAAACACTCATCGCTATTCCACAAACACAAAGTTCCAAAGTAAAGCAAAGTTCAAGATGAATTCATAACCGATGGCAGAATGATGTGTCGATATTTTACTGTGGCGCTTGCAGCGACTGGCAAATTCAAAACAAGACGAGACGAAACAAATTCTAGGCGTGTCGCGACAAACTAGTGGGTGGGACTACTTTACAGGTCGTCTTCAAGGGTAGACAAGTAAACCACGGAAAACCAAAGATGACGGTTATCGGCGATTTATTGCATCAAATAAACGATCGTAAACTGAAATAACAATATGAAACGAATTTCTATCAATTCCGCAGTAAAGGTTACGTAACGAAGAGTCAAAAACTTACACGAGACAAATTAACGATTGGAATCGATATCATAACGAAATTGAATAGCAATACATCAAAAAATAGCCAGCGTAAACACTACGCTAATATACTAAATAAGATTCGATAACAGAATTACACCACAAAAGGAACTGATTAACAGCTCAAAGACCTCGAACCTAAAAGGTGGGCGTTCACTATCGTAATGTTAAGAACATTTTCTAATTTAGACGATTACAAAACAATTAACGCTGTACAAATGTTCGTCTGTATTCTTTCGCCCATAGCTATAACATCGTAACCTAATCAAAAAAAACAAAAATACTCACATATCGGTCCCGCTTGAGCCAAGGGTTAAGAAATCAGAAAAACAGCAAAAGTTCAAGGTTGACAAGGCCACGCCAGATGGAATGAAAAACCAACTTGAAAGGGACGCTAACTGAGCTTTTATATGCGCGTGGTGACGCTTAAAGATCCGATTACAGACCAATAAAAAGTGAAGTAAACATTGTAACTACGTTGGTAACTAAGAATAGAGACAATTATTAACTAATCAAAATTGGCCTTTGTATAGTGTCCTTAACAGTTACGCATGTTTATAGTTTGTCTCGAACAAATTATCTTTCTGTTGATAAATTGACGTTTTAATCGGATATGATGGACCAGAAAGTTGAACGGTTATGATTTCAGAGGCGCTGCTGCATGAAGGAAAACCTGGAGTTACTCATTTTAGTAGAGTGGAATGTTCGGGTTGTAAAGAGGATAACGGTTTAACCTATCTTTGATCCTTTGGTCGAAGTCCCCTTGTTGATATGCTGCAGGATCAAGGACCTGGCCACCCCGACCGGCAATCTTAACCGTGTCACTTCGGCCAAAGTATATGTTGTCTCTGTACACGTGATGTTGAGAAGTATCGCCATTGGTCAGCCAAATGCAAGTGTAATATGTCGGATTACTGACACCTATGATCTCAAATTCATTGCCAGAATATTTGATGTTCTCATCCCTTCCAACTCGATGAGGCTCGTGGTATCTTAAGCCACTTGTTGAATGGTTTAGGTTGGTTTGCATTCTGAGGTGATTTCCGTAGACTACAACGTTCTTGAGACCTACATAAATACAGGACTTGTTGTTATTGTTCTCGTGAGAATACAGGAGTATTCCGGTGCCGTCAACGTAATTCCGCACAAGAAAAAGACCTTGGCCATTTCGAGCTTTAATGCCACCCGTTCCATTCGCAGGCCAACCTCTGACGTAGTTGCTTGATACTGACATGTGGTTAAACCCTTTGAGGTATATAGCGTGGTCTCTTTTTCGTCCAGTATTGGGGCTTCCGTTGAAAACGTTTTTCCCGATTTGCATTCTACTGTCGCATTCTTCATAGAGACAACTTTCAAAGTAGCCTTGGTCGTCTTGAAGATGGTAATGGGTTTTAAGGAATTCTAATTTATTTTTTTGACGCGAAAAGAACACTAGTAGCCCAACTGGGTTGGACAACCAGTGCATATCCTGACTTAATTTGAGACCACACAAGTTGTTATACAGCATTACATCCACGGTACGGGTGAAACTGAGAGCAACCCCATAAGCATGGGAATCGCGCATAAAAACATTTCTGAGAACACGGCCTTGTCGAAGATCAACCATTTTCAACTGTTTGTTCTTCTCAGCATTGCTCGCATTTCCTGGACTTTGCGATGAAAAGAACATGCAGCCCTCTATTGTGATATTGTTTATAGATTGACCTTTAAATTCTACAAGAATTCCGTCAAAATACAGATTCCTCAGTACAACATTTGTTACTGGTACTCTTACAGCATTGTGTATTTTTATGGCATATGCATCCGAGGCTTTGATAACTGCCATACCACTCTCCGTTCCGTAAAGTTCCACTGAGTCGGCGATGGCAATATTACCGTTGACCAGGTATTCACCACGAGGGAAGAAAACCTTTGTGATGTTGGAACTCATCGCGTGGTTTACTATGGCCTGAATCGCAGATGTGTCGTCAGTTACTCCATCTCCAACAGCGGCACGTAGGGAACCGCCAGGTTGCTTCACGCTTGTCATTCCAGCAGGTAGGCTGTCGATCCCTGTCAGATAGTTTTGCCGAGCTAAGAGATGGAGGAATTAAGCAAATCAAGCTTAGACGTCCGTTACGAGAAATGCTGGTTCGCTGAGTACACCACAGGCCTGAGCACTGTATATTTGAAACATCTTACAACTTTATGAGAAAGCTAGAAGTTTAAAATTACCTTATCAAGCTCTATGAATGACTGATTACATTGCATTGGTTTAACTCTTAAAGAAAATCAGTCAAAAAAAATCTGCAGTTCTTTTGCTAGTCAAGAGTCTTTGATCCTTGATTTGAAATGGCTAGTAACGTAGGGGTAAGGTAACTTTATGTATACACGGTATTTCCTTCAAGTTCATTTACATTCAATAACAAACATCCTTTATAATAAGCCTTACGTGCTGATTGCTTTTTGATAATGATTTTCCGCTCTCCCTTGTGAACAGAAGTTCCCTTTATGTGGTGTTTACCAAAGGCCCCTCGGGCAGAAACATTTTCCATCCTTCAGTAAGGAGAAAATATGACTGAGTCAGGATCATATGGGCTTTCTCTCGTCTCTATTTATTTCGTTCCTGTCAACACTTACCAAAGAAGGAAGATGGTTCCCACAAACAATACTACCTCGGATCCTTTCATTTTGTGAAAACTCTTGACAAACACCTTCCAGAGAACCGTGTCAGTAAAAACTGAAGACAAGTTACCAACTGATAGGATATGAGATCAAAACTCTGTTTATTACCAAGTAACAAACTGAAAATGATGTAAGTTTTACTCATTCGTAGTGACATACATGAGCTCAGATCGTTAGAAAAACCATGAATTGGCCATAAAGTCATGTAATCTAGGCCCCACATGCACAGGTGTATGTCGGTCACACGCCACATGGCTTTCAGATTTCTCCATCACCCAATTGTCACATTTTCCTGTCAGTTAAGGTGGCTCCATATGGTTATTCGCTGTTCATTTGGCGCGCGCTAGTATCAACTATCCACGGGAATTTTCGCATTACTCTCAATCGAACACCTCTCAAGTCTATCGAAATAAACTTCTGGCCCCGGTTGTTTAAAGGCTGGATAACGCTATCCACCGGATAAATCGCTATCCAGCGGATAAATGTTAACAAAACAAACCACGCTATCCACTGGATAGCGATTTATCCGGTAGATAGCGTTATCCACTTTTCGAACAACCGGGGCCTGGACGACAAAACTACTCTTTTGAACCATCACTGTTGAATTAACAAGGTTTTACCTGGAATTAATTAAAAATCTCCAAAGATAATTTGTTTACAGTGTTTATTGTGCTTTTATTTTAGTTTTTTTTTCCGTTTCCTTCGGTAAAAATTTCCTTAACTTTGACCAGAGGAATCTTCTGAAGGTCAAAAAAATAGGGGTTATAAAAGTAGTTTCGTCGCTTTTAGCGAATTGGTGTTTAATTTTTAGCTCCACTTAAAAAATTGGGTTACAAAGTTTCTTCATGAATTGGCAGACTGAAGGCGTAAACAGTAATTACCGCTCTGTAAAATTTGAAGAAATTCCACCGACGAAAACTGGAGATATTCACGTGAAAGTTTCGCATTTTTTCGATCGCACAACACGGTACCTCACAGAATAAGAATTCGCCAAGATCACTATTTGAGCACGCGTGAAATTCCCAACCACGCGCACACGCGCGTACCTCTGCTTCGGATCTAATGTTTACATGATCGTGAACGAAAATCGTAGGAACTTTGAACGAAAGTGAACTTAACCTTGAGCTCTTCGCAAAAAGGGACAAAGTTTCGACTTAAAAGCAGCTTCGCCTAAATATCAACTAGACTTGGAAATAGCAAAAAAGTCGAGTTTCTCCAAACTCACCCAGAATGAAGCCCTACGGCCACAAGTTACAAAAATATTGTTTTAAGCTCGAGGAATAAATTTTTTTTTTTTTTGCGCAATTTTTTCGTTTCGATGACCCAAATCGGCCAAAAACGATCGAGAATGCGTGGCGTATTCAGAGGCTCGTAAAGTCAACAGTAAAACTCCTCATAACAAACTGATTGCACGTCGTCTTTGTACTTTATTCCTTGTACATTTAGTGCTAAATAGATCGCGATTTGATTAGAACTAAATTATTTGACGAGTTTTCTAAGGGCCCGGACGCACTGGGCAAATTTTTGTTTATTTTGCGAAAAAATCTGTCTCCAGTTGCCTTAAACAAGTGCGCCCGGTGACTTTTAGATCTACCAAATTTTGTCAAAGCTTAAAATACTAAACTTCAAAAACGCCGCCGTCCTGCCTCGGAGCAGGACAAATTTTTGTCAGGCGTGAAATCTGACAGATTTGTTAATTTACACGCCATGATTTGAAGGAAATGGTCAATCAAGAAAATTTGATCGCTATTTTTAGTCGGAGTATTTCAGTCCGAAGCCCGCTGAAATTATATCTAGAACCAGAACGTTCCAGTCGAACATGGTGAAGCCTCCACTGGCATTGTAAAAGTAGCAACTGCTTCTGCCGGAGTTGAACGAATTCAAGGAAGAAAAAAGAAACTTTAAAACAAGCAATAATATGCTGAGGCAACATATTCGATTGAAGCGGTTAAAGATTACCGTAAGCCCGTGACTCCTGAGATCTCATGTAACTTTTCCCGTGAACAGCGAGCAAGCGATGGTGTTTATTTCCGTGTGATTGACACTTGTGGTTAACAAATATTTTGCTGTGTCTCAGTGCGCCCACGCTTGACAAATTGAAAATTTTGGCAGAGACAAATTTTGTCGAGAATTTTGGAAGGACCAAAAAAATTTTGTCAGTCTAGTGCGTCCGGACCCTAAGATAACGACCCAAGACAGCTTAACAAGAGGTCTACATTTTCAAATGCTAAAAAGGCGTTCTGGTACACGGCTTTTCTCAAAACGACTAGTTTGGTCTAAAAGAGCATTGTTTCTTCTTCAAATTAGCGTAATAAAATTTGTGGGTAATTAAAATCGCGAGCGCTGAGATAGCGAACTAAATGCAGCAAATCTTCCCGAAAACGTGACATTTGACCCACGCGTAACGATACCGATTACGGCAAGAAAACCCGGAAGAGAATCAAACGCTTCGTCATTTTGAAGCATTTTCTGGTGGTATCTCTCCGAAACCATTATTGCAAGAAACTATTTCCAGATATGAAATCTTAGAGGGTCAAAGAAGAAGCTAAAGAGCACAATTTGACACAATAACTTTGTTTTCTCAGAATTGAAGTCAGTGACCGTTAACGAATTCCAGTGAAATTTGCGGACTTGAATTATGATAGCCGATACTTACCTGAATATTTATATTTATAGAAGAGTCGTCTTCTTGGAGTAACCTTCAAAAGAAGCTGGATCCAGTTTAGGAAACCTCAGCTCTAAAAAAAGAAATGTTAAACGTTCCGTGACCTGCCCGCATGCACATGCCGACCGCATGTTTGTCGTAAAACGGTTTCCATAGGCAACTCCAAAATAAACAATTTCCAAAAATGTAAAGTGAGATTGGTTGTCTTCGTGAACAGTTAAAAGCTAGAGTCAAGTTCTATTACCTGTAAAAGTGCTTGATTTTTATTTGTTTGGGTTGACTTTGCTCACTCAGTATTTCGTACTGTCACGCTCGAATACCGCGAACTGGTCACGCCAAAACACTGTATACCGTGACTGGTTCACGGTATTCGAACGTGACAGCAGGAAATACTGAGTGACCAAAGTAGACGCAACAAATAAAATCAAGCACTTTTTACAGGTAATAGAACTTGACTCTAACTTCTCACTGCTCACGAAGACAGCCAATTTTCACTTTAAATTTTTGGGAATTGTTTATTTTAGAGTTGTCTATGGAAACGGTCAGTGGAATTTGGTTGGTTTTACGACGAACATGCGGTCGGTATGTGCATGGAATTGATCACAGAACGTCTAACATTTCTTATTTTAGAGCTTAGGTTTCCTAATCGGGATCCAGCTTCTTTTGAAGGTTACTCCAAGAAGACGACTCTTCTATAAATATAAATATTCTGGTAAGTATCGGCTAACATAATTCAAGTCCGCAAATTTCACTGGAATTCGTCAAAGCTGATTTCCAGTTCGTACTGCGCAGTCTCAGCGCTCTATTGTAAGTCTCACAAACATTAGAGGCAAATCGATGTTATTAGTTAGGAACTGCTTACCTTATCTTTGAGGCGCATTTAGATTCTTTTTCCAACAGTTTCCTTGAGTTTTACAGCTTTGACATTTTTTCATCAAGTGATATCAGAAAGAAAGAAGCACAAAGCTTCGTATCCAAAAATGGCGGTTGACATGAAACTTTAAATTTATTTCATGTAAGTAGATGCGAATTGCTACATTTTGTTACGTCTTACATGAAACAAAACAAAAGTCGTAAACAAACTCTCGAGAGTGCGCAGAACAGACTGGAAATCATCTTTAACGGTCATCGACTTCAATTCTGAGAAAACAAAGGTATTGTGTCAAATTGTGCCCTTTAGCTCCTTCTTTCAGTAAACAAGCTAAAAGATACACAGACCCCTTTAAATTCAAGTTATAAAACTAACTTCTTGAACATGACGAGCCGCAGAAAACTATAAACAATCATTGGATGAGGTTTTTGTGATATCTAGAATAATCAAGGTCGAGGTAGGGGTTATCTGCCGAAGCCGAAGGCTGAGGCTGATAACCCTTACCGAGATTTTCATTATTTTGGATATCACAAAAACGGAATCTAATAATTGTTTTATAAAACATTGAATTAAAAAACTTGGAAGTCATGTTTCTGCTTCTTCACTGACGGCAAGCAACACGAGTCGCGCGAAGTTGACATGATTACCCTTGGAAATCATGCACTGCGGTCATACATGACATGATTACCCGTGACCTTGACATGATTACCCGTGACCTTGACATGATTATTGTATAATCTGCAGTTATGGCGTCAAGGGCGCTGATTTCGAAAATTCACTGTACGCTTTCGGCCAATCAGAAAAGAGTTAGAGAGTTCAACGTATAATAATAAACTTCATTTACAAGAAACATCGCTTGGTTTCAGGGGGTCATAATGCAATAAGCGCAACAGAAAAAGTCATTAATAATTAAGCCGAACATGTAATTTTTCTTTTCGTTAATCGGGTGGCAAATTTTACACACACTCAATTTCCGCAAATTAAAACTTGACACAGCGGAAACACTTCGCAAATTAACATCCAAATGACACTGAGCTAATTTTAACAGATAATTAAGCAGGAAAGTTTGTTGCTTAGATAGAGAAAAATGTTACCATTGGAGGGCTCGCGTGGTGCATGTAGCTTTTTTGTTTTTAGGAAATTTGTAAGGGAAATTATTCGTTGACAATTACGCAAGAAAGTACTCCAGACTTGTCGTTTTTACTGTTAAAAATCAAACTGTCTTCTGCGTTCTAAAGAGAAACTATCGTTTCGTAAACTTATTCTCTTCACATTAATCACCTGTCGTTTATAACCGGCGGGGGCTTGGCACGAGGAATATATAGCTCTGGGTATTTTAATTGGCAAGATAGTTATTTTGCACCAAGATTTACAACGTTTCTTTCCGAAAATATCGCTGGTTGATCTCCGGGCAAAAACCGTTTGATTAAAACAGCTATACAGACCTTCAGGAAGTTTAAACTGCCTGACAGCAAGAAATGCCAGT